AGTGGATTAGTTTTTTCCTTTGATCCTAGTAGTATTTTTATGTAAAAAATTGTTTTACTAAGTTTTTTAATTTAGTTTAATGAAGTAAGAAAAATGCTCAACAGCATACAATATGGTAGAGTTTTTCTAAACAAAGAATCACTTTTCAGGTGTATACTGTCCGCTCACTACTATTAGTTTCATTCCTTTAAGCAATCATCAAGCGATAGGCAGCTGTAATGCGAAAATGGGAGCTTTTATCCCCCCAGGAAAGACCAAGAGCGAAAAAAAAAATATATGGACGGTGTTCGCTCAGCAAGCACAAGCAAAGCAGTTTCTTCTAGAGAGGGGAAAGCACCCACCGGGCCAAGGTAAAAATAAATCCTTAAATATACACTTATCAACCCCCTAAAAAATATCTCGTCGGTGCTTCAAAACAGTGCTCAATGGCATAGAGACACACAAGACAGAACTTTCAAATAGAAATAGAAATAAGCAGCTCTTAAAGTCTGGTGTGTCCGACACCAGACAGAAAAGTGCTTAACACCACACAATATGGTAGAGCTTTTCTAAACAAATATCTATCTATCTATCTATCTATATCAAGACATTTTTTAAGTTTATACGTTCTTTTTATAGGTACAAATATTTAAGTAAATGCCTGTTTATAATAAACCTTATTAACGACTTTTACTGGCCTTAATGTCCGAGAAATTTTCATAGGAAATATGCGTCCTCCGACAGGAATCGAACATGTATCCTATACGGAATCGTCATATAGTCTGACGTGTTCTACCGATTTAGCCACATACCATTTATAAACGGAGAGAAGAGATTTATAAACAGAACATTTACTTAAATATTTGTATCTATAAAAAGAACGTATAAACATAAAAAATATCTTAAATTAATTGTCGGACTTTGTCCATTTCATAATATATATATATATATATATATATATATATATAAATATATATTATGTGTTTTGTTGTGTGTGTATGCACATTATATAATTATTAATCAAATTTTAATTGTTGGGGTCGCAGCCTTTAATGGATGATTTGATGGAAATTGTATTTATAAAGAGTGGGGATTTTGCTTTTTACCTTTGTAAAAATGTAAAATGTAAAACAAAAAACAAAAACAAAATGGAAAGCGAAGAAATGCAAATCTAGTTAAGAATACGCAACCAAAAATATCAAAAGACAAAATGGCAACTAAATCTGCATGCCGGTTGGACTTGTAGTTCTGTAAACCATTGTTTTCCAATCTTTTTTTCTTGTGTCCCATTGTTGGTCGCGAGAGAATTTCAGGTTCACTCAAACACAAATAGAAATAGTAAAAGGAATAGATTTTATTTACAAAAGTAAAATTTAGTATAAATCCAGACTTGATAACTTCCAATCCTTGGTTCAGCTAAAGATGTAAGTCTCCTCCCTTATCAGTCTACCGAATGTTCATGTTCATTTCTATGACTATTTAAAATAATAAATCGGTTTAATATGAAAAGATATACCAATAAAAATAATTTTCCACACACCATTACTAATTATACTAATTATGCTAAAGTTCACCAACAACAAGTCAGAGGTTACTTGTAATTATGAATCGGATGTGATATGAGTGAAAGAGGAAGTAAATAAGATTAAAGTTAAAAGGATAAGGGGCTGAATAATGATTGACCTATATTTGAAGGTATTAAGATTTTAAGTGTTCAAGGAAGCATCCAAATAAAATAAAGAATTACGAAAAGAATTAGGTTTTTATAGAACCTATTCTAAAAAATAAGTGGAAGCTGTTAATAAATTTGACTGTTTTATCGAACGCACCCCCAGAGAAAGAGATGCATATAGAATGAGATATAGAGAGATACGTATTGACTGATATATATATATATATATATATAGAGTATTGTCTAATAATGACATTACAGAATTAAAAAGAATCTAGGTAAAGATGCTAGATAGATAGATATCTGTAAACTCTGATATACATATATATATACATACATATATATAAAAAAAAGATACACACACACACACACACACACACACACACACACACACACACACACACACACACAACATATATATATATATATATATATATATATATATATATATATATATTAGAATAATTTGAAAAAAAATCAATAAAAATCCTTAAATGCAATGTTGTTTAAAACAACATTGCATTTAAGGATTTTTGGTTTGTTTTTTTCCAAATTTTTCTTCATTCAATCGGATTTACATTTTCTTACATATATATATACATAATAATTGGTATATACGGAATGAATTCAATAACCAACAATTACTATTCTTAAAAGAGTTTTCCAATAAAAAGTAGAGCAGATATAATTACTTAAAAAAAAAATTATAACATAAATATGTTCTAAAATCACTACAAAAATAGCCATTTTGTTTCAATAATTATATATATATATATATATATATATATATATATATATATATATATATATATAATAGATTAGATAGATAGATAAATAGATGTAGTCTTTGTTCTTCGTCACACGACAGCTCTATCTCAAACAACAATAAAGAGATGCAAACAGACTCAAATAGATAGATAGATATCTTACGAATTTTATCTTTCGATAAAATTTAAACATATGTCTGAGAGTGCGGTGACATTTTCTACTAAGTTAGAGACCAATACAATCACACATAACGTATAGAAAACAAATACGAGATGTAAAGTTATACTTATTTTAATAAACGAAGAATAAGAGAAAGGAAAGAAAATATAAAAATTGTCATAAGAGAAATGTTCAACGGTTTACTTTATCTGTTGAATAATCGTATCAACGATTTTTGATCATTATTTCTTTTTCTTTTCTTTTTATAAATAGTTCAAGATAGACAAATCTTGTTTTGGCTTTGTTGAGTCGTTTCTTTTTATATGTAGAAATATTTTGTTCGGTTATTGTTGTTTATTTATTGGATTATTGTCCTGAAAGCGCTTTGTATTTCATTCATGGAGGATACAGTCCATCTTGGCTTTTGAGTTCCCGATGATTCCGGAAGCTTCTAAGTTTCTGTCTCTGGAAGATCGGAAGACAATTTTACGTGAGCACCAGCCCACGGAGAAAGAAATAAACATCTGCACGTCTTCTCGGTGATTCTTCTGACGAGTTAGTGCAGGGATGCACCTAACGTTGAACGTTACGTATGAAATCAAATCCAGCAGTTGAATGATAGATATGTAATCAAATCAAACTGTTGAACCAATTCAAAAGCGATCACCTAATTCTGCGATCACCTGACGCTTGCGTGTTCTTAATATTATCGAATTTTGACGCAATAGAAAGAAAGAATGAAAGATAAATTATTAAATTTTAGGATAGGGCTTTACATTTAATATCGCTGCCTCAAATGATTGATTTAAGTCAATTTAATTACTTTTAATATAAATAAAGAGGATCATGTCACGATACACACACACACACACACACACACACACACACACACACACACACACATATATATATATATATATATATAAATAGATAGATAGATGCAAATAGATTTACTTTTTGTTCGTCATCACATGACACCTCAAACTCAAACAATGACCTGATAGATAGATAGATAGATAGATAGATAGATAGATAGATAGATAACTGAGACAAAAACGGGCTATTTTAGGCACAAGTAAAATAAAAAAAATAAGAATGATAGAAAAATAGATAAAGGGACAGTTAGAAAGATAGAAAGATAGATAGAGAGACAGATAATGGAATAGAGAAATGAATTGGTTAATATCAATGACTGCACGACTGATAGATACATAACGATGTAAATTATTCTCATTGTTTTTATAGGGAATTCTATGTCTTCATTGCTTTGCCAACGGAATTAAGAAGACCAAGTCACTTCGTCTCTTTGCGTTTTTTCCAAGACACACTCGAATTCCTGTAAAATGAATAGCAGAAATTAAATAAATAAAGGAAAACACAAACGAATGAAATAACGAATGAAAGATAACGATTCGACAAATAATGAGATATCAATGAAGATAAGTAAGAGTAATAAAAAAAAAAAAAGAATTGACTGAATAAATACAAGCGAAGAAGAAAAACAAAATGATAGACAAAACAAGGGAAGAAAAAAGGAAAGAAAGAACAAAGATTAAAGAATTTAGGGGAGAATGAAAACAAGATTTATGGAGAAAGTTTTAATCTTAATGTCACAACTGTTCCGTCCGTGAGAACACAATGTCCGTTACGCCATTGTCTCACTTAAAAGAGAATTTTCCACAGTATAGCCGCTTGCTAATTTTAATAACATTGTCAATAAAAGAATTTTTTTTGACATTTTACCAACATTGAGAATAATCTGAATTAAAATCATAGCCGATGGCATATTGACTAGCAACATTTTACGGGGTTCAATCCTAACTGTGTATCCTGGTAATGTACCAGTTTAGAGACCTTTATGTCCTTTGAACTTCAAAACGTTTATAGACATAATAAATATTAGTAGCCGCCTTTTAAACTTTCTTGTGATTTCAACCTTTATTATCACCCCAATCTTAGAAATCAACTATTTAAGATAGAGTATTTAATAAGCTTCGTTTATTTTTCAGGTGAAATTCTCTCGAACGATTTCATGTCCAAAATGGTACGGCTGGCACTCGAAGGCGAAGAAAGGAGTCGAAATGTTATAAAACAATTTTGATTCTTATTAAAAAGAAAATCGTCAAATCTGATTTTAGTGTTTGTTTTGCTTAACGAACTGCTTAGAAACTAATCCAAGCATCCGAGCACTGTTCATATTGTGGGAAGATCTGGTAGCGGAAGGACTGAGACTAATTGACTTATTGATTTCTTTTTGATAGCTTATCAACTTAAAGCCAGAAAATATTTTTAGATTGTAAGCATTTTTTAAAGATAATAACTGATGCAAGTTCTAGTAATTAACCCATAGCTGGGGGAATCAGAGGTGAATTCAGAGTTTTCCCGGTGGCATTTGTGCGCAACTGAATATAAACAAACCGGCTTACAGTCATATCAAGTTGAAACACCAGTTCCCGTCTGATCACTGATGTTAAGCAACGTCGATCTTGGTCAGAACCAAGATGAGTGACCACTTCGGAATGACAGGCGCTATAAGCTTGGATGTGCAGATGGTGTAATGGATAACGGCTCAGGATTGTTAATCAGAGAATCAAGATCCAATTCCAGTTGGGTTCGATCCCTCATGTGCAAATACCACTGCTACTTCTTCTCTCCTCAGTTATGGGTTAATTAGTAAGATTTGTTTCTCTAAAATCACAATTATTCCTCCCGCACACCAATCTTTTTTCTGACTTTAACTAACCTGCAAAGGGTTGATAAACCGTACAAAATGAATGAATGAATCAGTATAACGAAGACGGCTGGAACTGGCACTCGGCTCTCCGATTTACAATTTCGAGACTTTATGCATTACACCACACGTGCATCTAAGCTTTCCTACCGATACTGAACTTAGGGAAAAACTAGCACATAAATCGACGTTATTCACCTTTTTTTGGATACACAAGGAAAAGAAATGTAATTAAAATGTTAAAGAAAATGCGATGGAAGTGATTCAGAGCTTTAAAATAATATATAGGTGTTTTCATAGAGTTTATCAGATATAGAAAATAGACGTTTTCATAGAGAGACAAATATAAAAAAAAGACGTTATCACATAGAGACATATGTAAAAAACAGACGTTATCACATAGAGACGGATGTAAAAAAATTGACGTTTTCATAGAGAGACAAATGTAAAAAATAGACTTTTTCATAGAGAGACAGATGTAAAAATAGTTGTTTTTCATCTAAAGATAGATGTATAAAACAGACGGTTTCATAGTGTGACAATTGTAGAAAAATAGACGTTTTCATTTAGAGACAATTGTAGAAAAATAAACGTTTTCATAGAGACGGATGTAAAAAATAAATGTTTTCATAGAGAGATAGATGCAAAGAATAGACTTTTTCATTTAGAGACAGATATAAAAAGTAGCCGTTTTCATTTAGAGACAGATGTAAAAGATAGACGTTTTGATTTAGAGACAGTTGTAAAAAGTAGACGTGTTCATTGAGAGAGAGATGTAAAAGATAGATGTTTTCATAAAGAGACAGATGTGAAAAATAGACGTTTAGAGACAGATGTATAAAAATGAGATGTTTTCATAGAAAGATAGATGTAAAGCATAGATGTTTTCATAGAGAGACAGATATAAAAGTTAGGCGTTTTCATAGAGAGACAGATGTAAAAAATAGACGTTTTCATTTAGAGACAGATGTAAAAAATAGATGTTTTCATAGAGAGATAGATGTAAAAAATACACGTTATCATTTAGAGATAGACGTTTTCATTTAGAGACAGATGTAAAAGACGTTTTCATTTAGAGACAGATGTAAAAGATAGACGTTTTCATTTAGAGACAAATGTAAAAATGAGAGGTTTTCATAGAGAGACAAATGTAAAAAAATAGACGTTTTTTTAGTGGCAGATGTATAAAACAGAAGTTTTCATTTAGAGACAGGTGTAAAAGATAGACGATTCGATTTAGTAACAAATGTAAAAAGTAGACGTTTTCATAGAGAGACAGATGTAAATGATAGACGTTTTCATAGAGAGACAGATGTAAATGATAGACGATTTCATAAAGAGACGGATGTGAAAAATAGCCGTTTTCATTTCGAGACAGATGTATAACAATTAGTTGTTTTCATAGAGAGATAGACGTAAAGAATAGACGTTTTCATTTAGAGACAGATGTAAAAATAGACGTCTTTATATAGAGACAGATGTAAAGGATAGACATTTTATAGAGAGACAGATATAAAATCTAGTCGTTTTCATAGAGAGACATGTGTAAAAAATAGACGTTTTCATTTAGAGACAGATGTAAAAGACAAATTTGTTTTGATTTATAGACAGATATAAAAGCTAGACATTTTCATTTCGAGACAGATGTAGAAAAAATAGTCGTTTTCATTTCGAGACAGATGTAAAAGATAGACGTTTTCATAGAGAGACAGATGTAAAAGATAGACGTTTTCATAGAGAGTCAGATGTAAAAAATAGTCGTTTTCATTTCGAGACAGATGTAAAAGATAGACGTTTTCATAGAGAGACAGATGTAAAAAATAGTCGTTTTCATTTCGAGACGGATGTAAAAGATAGACGTTTTCATAGAGAGACAGATGTAAAAGATAGACGTTTTCATAGAGAGACAGATGTAAAAGATTGACGTTTTCATAGAGAGACAGATGTAAAAGATAGACGTTTTCATAGAGAGACAGATGTAAAAGATTGACGTTTTCATAGAGAGACAGATGTAAAAGATAGACGTTTTCATAGAGAGACAGATGTAAAAGATAGACGTTTTCATAGAAAAGAGACAGATTTTTTTTTCAGAGAGACAGATGTAAAAGATAGACGTTTTCATAGAGAGATGTAGATGACGTTTTCAAAAGATAGACGTTTTCATAGAGACAGATGTAAAAGATAGACGTTTTCATAGAGACAGATGTAAAAAGATTGACGTTTTCATAGAGAGACAGATGTAAAAGATAGACGTTTTCATAGAGAGACAGATGTAAAAGATTGACGTTTTCATAGAGAGACAGATGTAAAAGATAGACGTTTTCATAGAGAGACAGATGTAAAAGATTGACGTTTTCATAGAGAGACAGATGTAAAAGATAGTCGTTTTCATAGAGACAGATGTAAAAAGATAGACGTTTTCATAGAGAGACAGATGTAAAAGATTGACGTTTTCATAGAGAGACAGATGTAAAAGATAGACGTTTTCATAGAGAGACAGATGTAAAAGATTGACGTTTTCATAGAGGGGCAAATATAAAAAGTAGCCGTTTTCATTTAGAGACAGATGAAAAAAAAATCAAAATATACTAATACAATGAAAAAACAATCACTTACCATGTTCTGATATGAATTATTGTGCCGGAACAAATGTTTGTAGCATTTGTAAGTGAATTTCCAATATTTAGATATGTATACATAGATTTCTAAAACAACATTTTGTGAGAATTTGTTCCATTATTTGACTTGCGTGTGTATTCTTAAAGAATTTGAATAAAATTGTTTTTAGAATGTATTAATATTTAATTTTTTAAATATTTTTTTGTATTATGGAATTTTTCAATCATCCGGCATCAACAACCAACCAGCTGTCTTTATTTATGACTAGCAGGGTGGCCCGGCGTTGCCCGTGCTTGATTCAAAAATCGTACAGCTCATACACCAATCGCTATCACTTGACTTAAAATATTTTTGCCCTTCCTTGCCTTTAAAGAAGTTCCCTTTGCCGTGCTGATGTTGCTACATGCCTTACTATCTCACGCTGCAATTTTTTTTCAAAGCTCTATACTAAACATTAAATCTGTTACGAAAAAAGAACTAAACAAAATGAACACAAAACGATCAGCTTTAAAAAAGGACTCGTAACTGGAAAAACCGAATGTAAAAAGAATGTTAACAACAAATACTTTTTCACACCCAACCCAGTTCTGCGGAATCAGAATCAACGTTGAGTTTAAGCAAGTGAATGAGCTAATTGGAGTAAAGTGCCATGCAGATTTAAATTTTTCCCACTTGTGACAAATGCAGCTATTGATTTTTTTTTGCATGCTAGTTAACATTCGTGTCAGTCAGCTGTTGGCTCTCACGCTGGCCAATAGAATCTTGCTGCCTATTCGTGGCAGCCAGCTATTGGCTCTCACTGTGGCCAGTAGAAAATGGCCGCAGACTACATGAAAACTGCCGTAGAAGCATGAAAAAATCGATTATTTCCACTATCGATGGGAGTTGGGAAATACAAAGTCAGTCTTGGCCTTCGCGCTAACTTGGAGCATGTGCATGTAAATTTTGGTGCAAATCCGTCGAAAATTGCGGTCGTGCATTCGTTACACACACACACACACACACACACACACACACACACACACACATCCTGCCTTTTATAGATAGAGATTCCTTCTTGCCAAAATTGGGGGATTAAAATCGGGCCAGAAGGAATTCAGACTTGCCAAACGGTCTTGTCTAATAAATAAATTCCGGGAGTAAAATCATAACCAGAAGGATTCATGAGTTTTCTGTCTGAAAATTCTATTTAAAGAACCTCACTTGTGAGACCCAACATTTCTTAACTACGTGTCAAGAGGAATTCTATCATTTTCTTCTATCGTATCAGTTACATCTCTGGCGTTGAGATAAGATAATCCGACTCACTTTCGATGTATTTTCACTTGTTCTAACACTACTTTGGAATAGAACTGCATGAAGACAATTGTGATATTGTTATATTTTCTTTCGTAACTTGCCACTGACTGTTAAACTCCAAAACAGATTGAACAGGCCCAGTGAAAGGAACTAATAAAATGCTGATGTATGTAACAACTGAGTCGATGGGACCACTTCACAACTGGAGAAGAGTACCAGTACAGGTAACCCCACTAATTAACTGATCGAATGCATACTCTTATGTTCTCGTATTTCTCGTGTAAGAAGTAAGATGCACTCTGACAATAGCACAGAGGAAAACAGCGAGTAACATCTCTGACGATTATTGTGTTGGATTTCAGAACAGGAAATAGGAGAGATTGTAAAAAGAGAAATATTGCTAACAGTTACAAAGGATATGAAATTAATGAGAACCATAATCCCTACGTTCTGAAGAGACACGTCACGCAGAAGAAGACTGGCTGCACGAAAGCCTCATTTAAAGTACATTTTAGCCGCTTCACACTGTATATTTGGATACCGTTGTTACCACGACGCACTCATTCTAACCCTTTCAAAATCTCTGTCGCATTCATCATTGAACTTTAGGTTAATATGATACACTTGTATATTTCGACAGTCAAATTCGATATAATTTGAAATGATAAAGATAATTTGAAATGATAAAGAATCAGTGGCTTGCATTTAAAAGAAAAGTATTTTGAAATATTGTCCGATTTTTTTTTGTTATCGAAATCAGCCTAAGCAAGGCAGCAAAGAGGTTACTGGGTGCGGAAGAATTAGTAAACATTAATAAGGAGCGAAAACAATAGAAGAGTAACCAGGAAGACTGTAGATAGCGATTGACATTGTATTTAAATTTTTGAAGATTAAAGTTGGCTAGAAAGCATGGAGCCGGAAGAGAGTTCCATAAACGAAAAGTGTGAGAAAATAAATTGTTATAAAAAATAAAACTTACGGCTACATCTAGCCAAGTCGAGTGTAAATAGACGAAACCTTGTCGCCAATCTAGTACAGCACTTAAATTTATAGAGTCTGAATAATTACCATGAAAGCATTTATAGAAAAGACACAGGGTGGCAACATTACGACAGTGGGGAATTGACTGAAGCCGATACACCAGGTCAGGACCAATAATATTGCTGATTCTTCTTTGGATTTTTTCAAGGATCATTAAATATATAGCGGGAGCACCGACCATCTATGGCAGCAATATTCTAAGTATGGACCAATGGTAGACTTATAGATATGAAAAATAGATTCTGGATTCAATATGGTCTTTCCACGTATTTCTTGAAATGACATTAAATATTCTGTATACTTTTAAATAACTTTATTTGGGTTAAGGTTAGGGTTTTGGGACATGTCCAATTATCCCCGTTTATGCAATTAAAGTGCTATTTCTGTAAACTTTTTTGGAAAAAAAAAGAACATTTTTAGCAAAAAATGTTTCCAGTTTAACAATGTGTGCAATCCGACTTGAAACTGAAATGAAATTTCATTGTGACTTAAAGTAAGCAAAACATTATACAATCAAATTTTTTACTTTTCACAAAAATATATATTGTACTGATTACTGTTGAAACTTGACTAATGCATGGAATAATAATGCAACACAAAATGTACTTAGAACAAAATGTATTGAAACAAGAAAGTGTACACAATATTTACATATAGTCTTTTGTATATTCCTTGTAAGACCGTTCCTGGAGAATGTGTTGATTTAGTCGCAGTCGGGCAGAGTTTCTGGATTGAATCTCTTGATTCCTCTCCTCGTCTTCCCGGTACCAACCATATTTATATGGTCGATACTCCACTATGCAAATTAGGTGGATCCTACCACAACAATTACTTATTTATAGAGTGTTGATGACATCGTCATTACTGCAATCGCCATTGTTTCGAGAAGATGAGCGAGTTATTTTTGTAAATCACTAAGATTGGACTTATCGTTGAATAAATTGGTCAGAATTTGTCATCTTACTGATAAATAAGGAAAAAGGAAAGTTTGGCACGGGAAAGCACAAGTATATATATCGATTTTGAGTGACTGAAATTGAGGATGTTCAATCACTCATACTTTATTGATTGAAGATCTGTTTAACTTGTGCAATTTAAATTGGTGCATTATCTGCGTTCAGAGTCGATCTATAACTTCTACAAAATGACGCTGGGGATACAATGTACAGAATATGTGAGCATCAATGAAGTTTTAAAGAAAATGGAAACAAAAAAACGTATTTAACATCAGGAAGAAACAGTTGAAATTTCTAAGGCACATAATGAGATAAGAAGACTTGGAAAATCTGATACTCACAGGACAGATTGAAGGCAAGAGGGACAGAGGAAAATAATGCATACTTAGTGAGCTTCAGTAAATGGATGGTGGAATATGGTTTAGGAGAAATAACAAAAAGACAAAAATTTATTAAGAGATACCAAGGACAGGAAAATGTGGAGAGCCATGATCACCTACATCCTGAGGGGATATGGTACATAAAGAAGAAAGATACAATTGTCTAGCTAAATGTCTCTCTAAATTTTTTGTCCAATGCACCCTTTTCCACATATGTCAGAATGTCATTCCCCCCCTTTTTAAGACTAACTAAAAAGGTGCATTCCAAATAATATGCATATAATATTGAAAATCTTTTTTTCTCCGTATTCAGTCAGTTAAGTGCTATACGTGATACCTGCTTGGGCGATCGCGTATCTTTCGATTCATGACTAACTAAATAGAGGATGTTCCCGCAGTAGGCTGCCGTTTTGTTCTGATTGCCAGTCTATCTTATTCTTTAATTCATAGCTGAGGGGAGAAGAGATGCATGCATACTTTTCCCAAAAATATTTGCGCGTAAGTGAATCTATCGAACTCGACTATATATATATATATATATATATATATATATATATAAAAGGAATATTGGAGATAGGTTGTTTCATGCTAGACGCAATCGTCAGACTACCGACGATTGCGTCGAGCATGAAACAGCCTGTCGCCTCTAAGTGTTGAATTAAACGTACTTGCATATACATTTAAGTTAAGACAATATTCTAAATTCGATTCCAGATGTATAGATTGCTATCCAGTGTTAACAATGACTATTAAGATTTATACATTTTATAGAAAAATGGCTCAAGTAAAAAGAAGGAACAACTTATTTTTTTAATAAAATGATAGAAAAATACAGTTGAATTTTGTTTTAATCCTTTCACTCCAAGCAAGACAATAAAGCCACTAAGATGCAACGAGTTACCGAGTGTTAGAGAATATGCTAAATATATACTATTAAGGAGAGAGCACAATAATAATAATAATAATAAAAAACAAGCATTAAGATAACACTTGACATTGCATTTAATTCTTTGGAAAGTTGACTGAGAAGCAAGAGACCTAAAGAGAGTTCCACAAGCGAGAAGTGCGATAGAAGAAACTGTTAGCATAGAACTTCCGGTTACATCTAGCCATTTTAACAGTAAAAATGATTAATTAATGCACTTGAAAAGCAAAGGATTTTCAGTGTTTTGTTTAAATAAATTATTTCAATATAAATATAGATTACGTATTTTACTGCTGATGAAAATCGAACTTCATAATATGCACTTTTTAAGAGTAGTGTAATTAAAATTGGTTTATTGAATTACTTCAATAAACAATATTTAATTTCTTGTTCCATTTTGTTGCTGGAATTACCCCAATGAATTGGGCCGTCTTAATCTATTTTTACTGAAGTTAATTTAATCCTCGAAAGATATTACCTTTGGTTACTATATCCGGTTTGGGAACATATATAAAGGCTAATATTGAGAACATCAGACGGCAGTAAGGTGTTTACTTCATTCACATCGACAAATTTGTTGAACGTTGTCTCAGTTTCAAAACCTGATATATTCATAGTCTTTTTTAAGAAGAGAAAATGAAAATTCCAGTCATCTTTATTCTGCTTGTTACTTTATCTTCAAGTAAGTACAATTTTTTTTCAACTTTTAATGTCGTTTTTCTTTCTCAAATACAAAATGTCTTCTTTTTTTTCTTTATGCATCAATTTACTAAGTTACTTTCGTTCTTTAGAAAAATCTTTCGTGTTTCCTTTGTCAGATCTCTTTCCTTCCTTTCCTTGTTTTTTTTCTTTATTTCCTGTTCTAATGTAATTATTTTCCTTTCTTTTCATTTTACAGTTCAGTTATTTACCATCTTATCATTTATACGTATAACGTTTCAAAGTTAATTTCATGGCCATACATAGCTATTTGTACATATATTTTTTAACCAGATATGTGCTATTTTTTCCAACACATTTTTACTATCTTTGACGAAGCTCTCTCATTCTGTCTTCCAAAACTCTTTCTAATGATGAAATGGGATAAGTGGTATTTACAAGCTTCATGAAGTTCTTTCCATTAAGAGATTTTTGTAGTGATCGAAATATGTGCTAAAACGAAGTTTCAACATCAGGTAATCATGGCGGGTGTAATAGGATAGATACCCCAGCCAAGTTGTACCAAATCCTGTTGGGTCTACTTTGTCTTGATGGAAATAACAACACCCTTCTGTTTACCTATGTCCGTAAACTTCCCATCAATTTCTGGCCTTAATCACTTAATCTTGATATAGTATTTGTTTGGATTCAATAAAAGGAGCTCGTAAGCCACAACGACTTTCCAAATCCCATTCGGCTCACAGTATCCCCTTTTCAGATGCAGACTAAATTTTGAAGTGAGACAAAAAAAAGTTTAAGTCTAAGGAGAATTTAAATCATCAAGTTCTTTTAGTGAAAAAGAACTCGTAGTTACAGAAAATCTACTCGGAATTGAAAAAATAAATGCAATAAAATTAAGACAGTATTTAATTAGAAAAGCTTTTAAGTGATTTTATGAATAAAATATATTATGGACACTATTGCCTTAATAAAAAAAATCAGTGACAACAATTGTTTTCATTTTTTTAAATTTTAATTAGAATAATTTATAAACTTTTAAAATTCAGTATTAACTTGTATTGGTCAAGCGCTATTATTATTTAATAAAAACTATATTTACTAATCACAAATGCAAACAATTTAGCGACCCCAGTATTTCAAAAGAATTTCGAATATTTTGTGGACGTATAAACTTTGTAAATACTGATGCTCATACACGATATTATCAGAAATTAAGAGTGGTAATTATAGTAAATTTAAATATTATTAGTAATTTTGTAAGATTTCCTCAGCAAGCGTCTTCGAAGTAAGATTATAAAGTCAAAGTACATAAAATTCAATAAAATATTAGAATGTTTAAAAGATTTTAGATTTTTAAGATTACAGGGTAGCTAAAAATTTATCTAAAAAGGCGTTGACGTTATATTCGTCATGTAATTTTACTACGATTATTTTCCGCCTTACTTAAATCTCGCAAATATTAGTTTATCGATAGATGTGTCAACATCTCATAAAAACACTCAGCTCGGTGGTAAAAATGCTATTCTGTGAAATTTAAAACAAAAATAAGTAATATTTGTTTGAATTCAGATTAATTAAACTTTTCATCAGTTAATCTTCCTCAAAACGGTTTCAGAAAAGTATATTTTATTTTTTAAAGATTTTTAATACTGAGAATTATGTTAGTTTCACAGATTTGTCAATGTATATTGATAAAGAAATCATTCCAATCAATTTAAATTCAGTTTGAAATATAGGAAAGTATTTTACTTATTGAAAATATTAAATTTAATCTATCAGCTTGAAACTAAAACTAAAATAAAAGCTTTAAGAAATTTAAAAAAAAATGCATTTTTCACCTAACGTTTATATATATATGAACACACAGACACGCGCACGCGCGCGCACACACAAACACACACACATATATATATATATATATATATATATATATGTATGTATCAGGTACCTTCACTAATTCGCTGAAAAAAAGAATATACCATGATAAAAAAAATCACACGAACTTGATAAAAACAAAGTTTTATCGTCAAAATATTTATGTTATTATTAAGGGGGGAAGACCGACGTATATTTTATTATTTAAATATATTTTTAACCCATTTTAGCGCGTCCGAAATTTTAGCTAAAGAATTTTCATGTGTCAGTAAGTAGACAATAAATTAATAAAAAAAAAAATCAAAAAAAATCAAAGAAAACATTGTTTTGGAAATTTTTGCAAAAATCAAATAATTGTCGGATTTTAATGAAACTTTCAAAACTTATTTACCAATAAATAAAATTATTTTAGAAATCTTTTCTTTTTAAAAAATCTTAGTAAAACTATTTTTTACATCTGTAACCCACACCACTTACATAATTTTAAAATATTTCGAGAAATTAAATTTTGATCCTGTTAATGGTTATATTAATTAAAAGCAGAACTCCTTACAGAATTTAAATTATTTTTTTTGCATGACAGAAACACCAGTTATCGCAAATCTGCTCTGAATCGTAAAATAAAAAATGCAATAAAAATAAGGTATTATTTAATTAGAAATGCTTTTAATTGTTTTTATGAATAGAGTATATTAAGGAAACTATTGTCTTAAGAAAAAAAATTTTCAATGAGTAATGAATTTTTACAAGAATTGTTTTCATTTTTATTTTTTTTTATTAGAATAACTTATAATGTTTACAAATATTTTAAATTTCTGCATTACTATGACCCGGTTAGTCGATATTGTGATTAGTAAAACTATATTTACTCATTATAAATTGAAAAGCTTAGTACAAATCATCAAACACCAATATATTTAAAAGAATTTTTATTTTTTTTATGTGTATAAATGTGAAGATTTTTGTAGGTACGGGTGTTCATACACGACATTATAAGAAAATAAGAGCGATTACAATAGTAAATTTAAAGGTAAAGTTTTAAAAATCCAATAAAAAATTAGATTACAGAGAATATTTCCCTAAATTTTCAAGATTACAGAATACTTAACACACACACACACACACACACACACACACACACACACACACACACATATATATATATATATAAATACCCATCTGACATCAAGTTGTCAACATGTCAACACCTTAAATCAACCTCTAGCATGGCGTTGAAAAAGCATGTATACGATATTTATACTTAAAGTAAATAATATTTCTTTCAAATCAGATTGATTATATTTTAAATCATCTAATATTCTTCAAATAAAATTTCAGAAAAGTATATTTTATTTTTGGGAGAATTTTTAATAAGTACAATTAAATTGCGATGAACGTTGACTAAAGATGGCGCTGAAATCAGATTTTTTAGCAAAAAAAAAAAAAAATTCCAATCAATTTAAATTAGCTTCTTAAATACGGCAACGTATGTTGCTTATTGGAAATATGAAATTGAATCTATTAGCTTGGAATTACAGCTAAAATAATTGCTTCAAGAAAGAATTTTCATTCTTTAAAATTCATTTATTACCTTAGATATTGATAATCTGTGGAGATACATACATACATACATACATACATACATATATATATATATATATATATATATATATATATATATATATATATATATATATTCATTTATTACCTTAAGTATTATGAATATTTGGAGATACCTTATATATATATATATATATATATATATATATATATATATATATATATATATATATAAACCTAGTGAGCATAGTAAATAAAAATTGAGGGTTTTTCGAAACGAGTATAGTTACCTATATATATATATATATATATATATATATATATATATATATATATATATAAACCTAGTGAGCCTAGTGATTATTGGCAAATCAAAATTGAGGGTTTTTCGAAACGAGTATAGTTATTTATATATATATATATATATATATATATATATATATATGGTAAGGCAGATATGTTTTGGTACATATAGCCTTCAGAAATACCTCCGCATAATAGTAAAATATGATTGGCAATGGTGCCTACATCTGGCTAATGTTTTATCATTATGTAGGACGTAGTTCTGGGAGATAATTCTGCCAGACCGTATATATATAAGGCGCCTTTTAAACATAATGTACTGATTAGTTGCCTTTCTCAGGCAGAAAATAGAGGCTCGTTTTATAATCGGATTGGCTTGTAGATGAGCATATAATGCAGCTCATGGTCTAGATTTAATTCAGAAAATGATTATAGAGTGATTCCAGACATTATAAAAATGCAGATAGACTCCTTCGAGTTACGGATAATATATATATATATATATATATATATATATATATATATATATATATATATATATATATAAACCAGTAGTTTACCATCGCTCGCGGAGACACTTTTGTTGTGTTGAAACATATTTGCAGTTGTGTGGGGATTTTTAGTATGTTTTTCTTTTAATATCCCAAAATAAATAATATTTAGCTCTACTTTTTATTGAATAGTCTTTTCATATTTTACCTGGTTACGTGGCATCACTGCCACCTCAACGTACTTGATGTATGCCTCCATGTTGAGTTTGGAGCCCATGTGGGAAGATGAATGTAGGCCTAACATCACCATCACTAGTGGCCATTCCAAGTACCTACGTAATCAACCATTGGACTACTCAAACTCTTTCCGAATCCTCTGCTTTGTCTTCAGATTTACACGCAAACACTCTGAAATGTTCGTATTGGAACTTTCAGTGCGAATGCCAAGCAATACAGTAGGCCATTTCCAAATTTCTGGCGGATAATGGAGTTCTTTTACTCACAGACGGTGCACAACTAAGCCTAACATACAGTGCAAATGACAAAATCAAAAACAAATAACGCGCATGCGTGAAATTGAAAAGATAAAATGGCGGCAATTTACCCATCGCACCCTGTATATATATTTGTTGTTGTGTGTTCGCCTTTGCCTTTGTGCATGCGTGCGTGTGCGCGCGCGTGTGTGGGTGTGTGTAGCCCAAGAATGGAGAGAGTGGGAAAGAAGAAATTTTGTCTACAATTATATATTAATTTCGAATACTAAAAGAATGATGCTACCTTCGTTTTGCTTAAAATTCTTTCTATTCTGTTTTGCAGTTAATGAGAGTGATTCAATGACAACACCGCCATCCAAGGGTAATCATTTTTTATCTATCAATATTCTTTTCAACAGTATTTTATTCATTACTTAAGAACATTTTTCAGCTATAATTTAAGATAGCACAAGGTTCGAGACTCACTCACAGTATAAGTTATTCGAGATTAATTTTTTGCCCGATTTTCAGTAACTCCAACATCTATGCCAACAAAAATTGGCGAAACTTGTTGAAACTTTATAAAGCAGATGAAATAGTAAATATCATTGTGCAATGTGGTTAAGAAAGAAAAGCTATCCTCTAAATAACACTTAAAAGATTTAAGATGTGAAAATATCAAAACGTCATAAAAATATTCTCCATTTGTTGGAATTTACAAATAAGGCGCCTTTTAAACATAATGTACTGATTAGTTGCCTTTCTCAGGCAGAAAATAGAGGCTCGTTTTATAATCGGATTGGCTTGTAGATGAGCATATAATGCAGCCCATGGTCTAGATTTAATTCAGAAAATGATTATAGAGTGATTCCAGACATTATAAAAATGCAGATAGACTCCTTCGGAGTTACGGATAACTGCATTATTTGAAAATATAATTTCTGCACTGTTTAACGTCGTAATTCCTGTACTATTACAAGATATGATTATTGTACTATTTGAATACATGATCCACGTACTATTTAAAGATGTGCTCACTATATTATTTTAAGGTGTGATCCCTGTATTCTTTGAGGATGTGATCTCTGGACTATTTAAAATGCAATTCCTCTATTATTCGAAGATGCGATCCCTATACTATTTGAAGATGTGATCTCTGTACTATTTGAGGATTCGTTCCCTGTACTATTTTATGATGTTATCCCTGTACTATTAGAAGATGCGATATCTGTACTCCTGGAAGATGCAGTCCATGTACTATTTGAAGATTTCCTCACAGTTTTATTTGAACTATTACTCTCTGTACTATTTGGAGATGTGATCACTCTATTATTCGAAGATGTGATTCCAGTAGTATTTGAGGATACGATCCCTGTAATATTTAATGACACATTCCCTATACTAATTGCTGATATGATCCCTGTATTACTTGAAGGTGTCATTATTGTACTATTGGAAGATGTAATCTCATTACTATTTGAAGATCTGATCTATTATTCGAAGACGTGATCTCTGTACTAGTTAATGATGTGATCTCTGTATTACTTTTAGATGCGATTGTTGAAAATGCGATCTCTGTACTATTTGGGGTTACGATCCCTTTCAGGATGCAATCACTGTATTATTCCAAGATGTTATCCAGTATTATTTGAAGATCCGATCCATGTACTATTTGATTATGTGATCTCTGCATTGCTTGAAGATGTGATTATTGTACTGTTTGAAGATGGTATACTAGTGTTATTGTGATCCCGGTACCATTTGAATATGCGATGTCTGTATTATTTGAAAATGTGATACTTGTACTATTTGAAGATATCATCCAAGTCCTCTTTGAAGATGTGATCCCTTTACTATTTGAAGATGTGATCCCTGTACTATTTGAAGACGCGATCCCTGTATTAGTTGAAAATGTGATCCCTGTATTATTTGAAGAGGCGATTCCTGCATTGTTTGAAGATGTGATCACTGTATTATTAGAAGATGTGGTCTCTATAATATTTGATGCGATCCCTTTATTATTTGAAAATGCGATCCCTATACTATCTGAAGATGGGATCCCTATATTATTTGAAAATGCGATCCCTGTATTATTTGAAGATGTGGTCCCTGTACTATTTGAAGATGTGATCCCTATAATATTTGAAGATGTGATGTATTTATTATTTGAAAATGCGATCCCTACACTATTGAAGGTGTAATCCCTGCATTATTTGAAGATGCGATCCCTGCATTATTTGAAGATGTGATCCCTGTATTATTTGAAAATATGATCCCTGTATTATTTGAAGATTTTATCCTTGTACTATTTGAAGATGTGGTCCCTCTATTATTTGAAGATGGGATTCCTGTATTATTTGATGATGTGATTCCTGTATCATTTAAAAATATGATCCCTTTACTATTTGAAGATGTTATCCCTGTATTATTTGAAGATGTGATCCCTGTATAATTTGAGGATGTGATCCCTGTATTATTTGAAAATGTGGTCCCTATAATAATTGAAAATTTGATCCCTGTATTATTTGAAGATGTGATCCCTATAATATTTGAAGATGCGTTCCCTGTATTATTTGACGATGTGATCCCTATAATATTTGAAAATGTGATCCCTTTATTATTTGAAAATTTGATCCCTATAATATTTGAAGATGCGATCCTGTACTATTTGAAGGTTGTGATCTATGAACTATTTGAAGATATGAAAGACAACAGGTCTACATAACCCAGATAGATTTTTTTATACGGGTTAACAGCAAAAGTGAAATCCTTCTCCATCGCTTTTGGTGATATATATATATATATATATATATATATATATATATATATATATATATATATATATTTTGTGTCCGTGCGTTAGGTGTTGAGCGGTAAAACCATATTGCCTTATATATATATATATATATATATATATATATATATATATATATATATATATATTAATTGAGAAAGACTTTTTAGTTTCGACTATTGAAAGAATCGTAACGCTCGTTACTATATTCGTTTGTTTGAAACTCACTTTTTCTGTTTTATTTTATAGGTTATAAAAGTGGTGGACGTATTTTTCCCTGGTATCCATATGGTAATCCTATTTTATCTATCAGTATTCTTTTCAATAATATTGGCTCAATTATTTAGGGTCATTTTAAACTAAATTTCATCCTGTCCAAGTTTAGAGAGCCACTCATAGTTTAGGGTTACAGACAAAATGATACTGATGACTGCGTAGTGGTATATACATGAAAGAGAAGATGTTACGTAGTGATGATCACGAGGATAATTAGGAGAGATGACAATTGAACTTTTGCATAAAAAATTCAAGTGTTCAAGGAGGCATCAATGTGCTAACTGATTTTACAAAAGTGCATTTGGCTGAATTGATTTTCTTTACGACTTATTAACCTTTTGAAGATTACTTTGAAGCCAGAAAATATTTTTAGATTGTAAGAATTTTTCGAGATAAAAAATGATTTATTGATACAAGTTCTACTATTTAAACAATAATTGTTTTTTGGCTGAAATGGTGAACCCACATCTTTCCCAAGGGTATTTGCTCGTAAGTGAATAAAACGAACCCGACTGGAATTGGAACTCGGTTATCCGACTTCTAATTCCAACCCGTTTTCCACTACACTGCCCAGACTTAACCTGGTATTTCTAAGCGATCACCCATCTAGGTACTGAGCAAACTCGACATTGCTTAACTTCGGTGATCATATGACAACATGTGATTCAACGTGAAATGAACGGAATCAAGTTATCAAAACTGCAAAAATTACATCATGGGTAGGCTATATATCAGAAAATATAGACATTTAATTATGCTATCGGAATGTCCCATTAGAAATTATTACATTGATCCAGACCCAACTATGACGAAAAAACGTTCTTTTTCTGGGTCTTTTTTTGGTTCTGGACGTAGAGATGTCCAGTATAATGAGCTTCATTTCCGATGTGCATTCTTCCCACCCCCAAATTAGTGGGCAAATTCAGTGGAAGACATTTCGTTTCCATATAAAGGGTGTTTCATTAAGACGGATTATATATAAGGGTGTTTCATTAAGACGGGTTATATATGAGGGTGTTTCATTAAGACGGATCAAAGTCAACAGTAAATAAAACAGTGTTATTGGTAAAAATTTATTTATTTCTCTATTGGATCATGTTATTTTAAGTCATGGCAATTATGCGTGAAAAATAATATCGCCCAAATGTTCGCCAAATCTGAAAGAAAAAGTAAAAAAATGATTAGACAATTAAACTTAATTCACATTTAAAATCGGTTGAAGTTATTGGAACACCCTTTAGTTTCTTATTCGCTCATGCATGGTGAGTCCAGTATTTCAGGCTTCACGTATCGGCGATACAGTAAAAAAGAGAGTTCTTGAAGGTGGTGAGAATTCCGAATATTTTTCGTGAATTTCAGTAACTGATCTAAACCAGCGAATCAAAATGGTGTAAGCATCCACATGACTCTTTTCAGTTAAAGTCTCTTTGGGTAGGTGTTATCTACTCTCTGGTTTTTTTTTTACCTTTTTTAATCAATTGCTGGATGGGCAAGTAGTTTAATGGTTAAAGGGGAATTCGACGAGCTAAGTTCGAATTCCGGCCGAGATGGTTGCATTCACTTTCGCACAAATACCCCTGGAAAATATATGAATCCATTTCTTCGCTTCCCAGTTATCTTAGCCAACCTTACAATGATTCATTTTTGGTGGCCACAATATTAACAATAAAAGATATGCTGATCACACATTGTTGATAGCAGACACCGATAAAAGCTCCTTCAAAAATAGTGAAGGAAAACAGGAAGAAAAGACTAATAAAGATTGTAAATAATGATAAATTCTCATCCCAGAAATTAAAGATTAAAGATTAATAAGTTGATACTAAGCTGATTAATATTCAGATTGATCTTACTTCGTTTGGCTATACAGCATTTGACCTTCCTCTATTACTTATAAGTTGTCTTGTTAATTGTTTTTAACTTATTGTTTTGTGTTTATGTATGTATACTTTAGCACCGGATACTGGTGTTGAATAAATATATTAAGCACTCATTCTTCTCTGTGTGTCATTCACTTCAACGATACAACACAAAACATCAAGCAAGTACAACAATTTAAATATCCGGGAAAGTTTTTTAACTGAGGACGGAAAGTGCGATACTGAAATCTGAAGACCGATTGGGATAGCCAAAGATGTACTGCAAAAGTTAAGCAGAATATTAGGAGACAGAAAAACTTCGTTACAAACAAAGAAAAGATTACTGAACTGTTACGTGATACCTGTCCACCTATATAGCAGTGAATGCTGGACAATCTTTTCACAGATGAGGAAACTTGAGGTAACAGAAATGTGGCTCTACAAAAATGTGTTGAGAATACCATGGACCGAACATGTGAGCAACGACGCGGTTTTAGAGAAAATGGGAGCTAAAAGAAAACTTATACTGAACATCAGGAAGAAATAGTTGAAATTTCTGGGCATATAATGAGGAAGTTTCGTTTGGTTTATTTTGTTTAACAGCATATCAACCTCAATGTGTTATTTAATGACGGAAACATTTTAGGAAAGATTCCTAAGAATAGAATATGTATTCTTTAGTTTAGATTGGTTTGGTTTATTTTGTTTTACGGCATATCAACTTCAATGGGTTATTTAATGCCGACAAAATTTTATATTGCTGGTAATATTTTGTTTTACCAAAAATTTGTTTCTGGTAACATATTTCCTTCAAAATTGCATTGCTGTTAATAATTTTTTCAAAAACGTATTGCTGATAATAGTTAACTATTTGCCTATAGCTGGGACCCTAACAGGTGCTACCACCCCGGGTCAAAGTGGACCTGGGAACACCAGCAATTAAGAGGTGGTTTCATGCTCCTCAAAACCTTCTGATCAGAGGCCTTGCTGCTGGACGTAGTTTAACGTCTTACCCAGGACGTGGATGTAGTTTCACGTCTTACCCAGGACGAACATAATGAGAAAGGAGGGCTTGGAAAATCGGATACTCACAGGGCAGACGGGAGGCAAGCGAGACAGAAGAAACCAGTGCATAGCATGCTTGATAAGCTTAAATAAATGGATGGCAGAACAGGAATTAGGAGAAATAACGAAAAGAGAAAATTTATTAATAAGAGTTACAAAGGACATTAAGTTGTGGAGAGTTGTTATTGTTCACACACGTGGGGACACGATACATAAAGAAGATGTGTCACGGTGTGGAATATACTTGACATATACCAAAGATCCGTTCAGCATAGTTGCTGTATAAACCACAGGTTGCCTCTATGAGCGTTAAAGTAATGTTCATCCACGTTGATGAGTAATCACACTGATTTGTAGTGTGTCTTCAAATTAAAACTGCTCTGATGAAGATATCAATTGTTTTTATTTTATTTAAGCTATGTCAAATAGAAATGGGGATAAGCATTTTTATCATTTCACACCAAGCAAGGCAATCAACCCACTAAGTCGCAAGTGTCAAAGAATATGAGGCAAAGAAAAATATCGTTAAAGAGCGAGAACAATAAAAGAACAGAAATGAAGAGGGCAGAAGATAACGATTGACATTGCATCTAAATTTTTAAACATCAAAGTTAAATGGAAAGTAAGAAACCGGAAGAGTGTTTCACCAGGAATTAGTGCGAGAGAAGAAACAGCGAGTATAGAACTTATGGCTATACTTTCTACTTCTTTGTGTCGCTTCCTTTTAGGACGTTGGCGATCATAGCAATCCACAATTTTCGGTCCTTTCTCTTTTGTCTTTTTGTTATATCTTCTAAATCTTGCTCCTGCATCTATTCACTGAATACCGCTAGATAGATCATGCGTTGCTTCCTTCGCAATTTCAGCTGTAAAATGATGAGACATATCTTCCAATCCAGTACTGCGCTTGAATTAGTAAAGCTGAGATACCAAAAAGAAAAGCTGAACAGAACAGTTACCATTAAAATATTTATAGAAACAGTACAAGGAAGCTACGTTACTGTAGTGGGAAAGTGACTGAATCCGAGATGCCATGTAACGACTGATAACATTGCAGATTATTCTTTGAATTTTATCAAAAATCTCTAAATACATAGCAGAAGCACCAGACCAAATGTGACAGCAATATTCAATGCATGGACGAATGTTATAACATTTTTTAATGGATACAAATTTTAATTTTTTTTCCGCAAATTCTTTTTACGATTATTCAAAATGGCTGCCCGGCAGCCAGTATCATTTTTTCACAGCTGACGATAAATATATGGTTTTGTTTTTATAGTTCATTCTTTGTTAAAACTGCATTTTTTAAAAAATTAATCTCCCCGATTTTCTTCCTTTGCAGTCAAACCTGGAAGTTGCCCATCGTTTAGCTACATGAGCCTAATGCCACTACATTGTAGAACATTATGCAACATTTATTGTCACATTGGCTGTAACGAAATAATTAAGCATCCTATTTGTTGTTATTTTGACGGTAATTGTCCAGGAGGTAAGTAAATAAGCAAAGAAAATATCATGAAACTGTTGAGGTTTAAGAAAATTATCATTTAAGAAGCCACTCTTAAAATTGCAACAACACAAATACTTACTCTATTTACATTGTTAGGATTGTTATCTTCATCTTTATTGTCATTTTTCGGTTTGCGCAGTTTGAACGGACCCGTTATCATGGTGCAAGAGCACACCTGCCCTTAGCTTCACTCTGCATTTCAACTTAATTGCTTCTTTCATTTGCCTTAATTAAATGTTATTTATTTCATCAGTCATCGACAATGTATATAACTTTCTGTTTTGTCTTGAAGAAACCAGCGCATAGCATGCTTGATAAGCTTAAATAAATGGATTTACAAAGAGTTACAAAGGACATTAAGTTGTGGAGAGCCATTATTGTTCACACACGTGGGGACACGATACATAAAGAAGATGTGTCATGGTGTGGAATATACTTGACATATACCAAAGATGCTGCTTTTATTTTCCGAAAAAAAGATTTAGTATTCTTGCCTCTCTATCCGTACTTATCTCATTCAAACTATTTGTCTGTTTATTCTACTTTCCCTATCGACTCACTAAAATACATTGTATTTATTTTCTACTTACGCTATATTTCTCCATATATATATATATATATATATATATATATATATATATATATATATATATATATATGTGTGTGTGTGTGTGTGTGTGTGTGTGTGTGTGTGTGTGTGTGTAAAAGGCAATTTTAGACGGATTTGCACCAAAATTTACATGCACATGCTCCAAGTTAGCGGGAAGGCCAAGACTGACTTTCCCAACTCCCATCTCCCATCGATAGTGGAAATAATCGATTTTTTAATGTTTCTACGGCAGTTTTCATGTAGTCTGCGGCATATTTTCTACTGGCCAGAGTGAGAGCCTATGGCTGGCTCCCACGAATAGGCAGGAAGATTCTATTGGCCAGCGTGAGAACCAACAGCTGACAGACACGAATGTTAACTAGCATGCTAGCATGCAAAGATAAATCAAGAGCTGCATTTTTCACAAGTGGGAAAAATCTAAATCTGCATGGAACTTTACTCCAATTGGCTCATTCGCTTGCTTAAGCACAACGTTGATTCTGATTCCGCAGAAACTGGGTTGGGTGTGAAAAAGTATTTGTTGGTAACATTCTTTTTTCATTCGGTTTTTTCCAGTTACAAGTCCTTTTTTAAAGCTGATAGTTTTGTGTTCATTTTGTTTAGTTCTTTTTTCGTAACAGATTTAATGTTAAGTATAGAGCTTAGAAAAAATTTGCAGTGTGAGTTAGGCAATAAGTAAGGCATGTAGCAACATCAGCACGGCAAAGGACACTCCTTTAAAGGCAAGGAAGGGCAAAAAATATTTTAAGTCACGCACGGGCAACGCCGGGCCATTATGCTAGGAGTACTCTCTCCTATACATTGAGTTCTACCTGGATTCTTCCTCTTGGAATTTTTTATATAATAAAAAAGGCTTAAACACTAATATTCCATGGTCATAATTTATTTCATTGGAATCGTAAATACGATCCAATTCATCAGACCTACAAATTCAAAAAGAAAACAGACAAAAAACAACTCTGGAAATAAAAACAGAATTTAGAGAGAGTGTAAGTATGAGGAGGAGGGAGATTAAACCATAACGGAAAGAATTTTAGGAGATATGGGAGGAGGGGTTTAAATAAGAGAAAAGAATGAATGTTGACGGATGTCTAATGCATAAAGATACATTTCGTGGTGACATACACACACCATAGATAATTTAATGTTAGAATAAGAGGGAGGGAAAGACGAGGTGGAGGAGAGAGATGGGATGAAGGAAAGTAAAATTGCGTTTACTTAAAGGGCCGCTTTGTAATTGAGAAAATTTGACAAATTTAATATCGACTACAGGTTACAAATCAAATATAAATATATGAAGATAAATATAACGATTATCTAATCCAGCAAGGCCCTATATTTCTATGTTCAAAAACACATACGAATACACACAATAACATATACATGTATATACATACACATAGGCATGTACCCACATACACACATACATACATGTACACACATATAAAAATATAAAAATATAAAAATATATTCACATATCCACACATACACATATTCATCTATATCCATATACATACACTTTTCACATACATATGCACGCATACACATGCACACATGCACATACCCATATATACATATATACATATATATATATATATATATATATATATATATATATATATATATATATATATGTGTGTGTGTGTGTGTATAAATGTAATCTGGTGTCTATTTTTATCTTAATTTCTGGGATGAGGATTTATCATTATTTACAGTATTTACATTCGAACTACTATCCTCATCTTTGTTGCTATCATCACAACATTTTCGGTGGTTGTACCCTCCTAGCTTCAATGAATTCCAGACTGAACCCTTTATTTAATCTATGGGACGAGACTGTTCACGTTCCACTGTCTATTTCTAGGGATATCTCGTCTAGTTCTTATTTTTAGTACTGCTCAGTTATTACTCGCCTTTTTAAGAACCATTTACGAAGCAACATCTCGCTCATTGTCCCGTGAGACAATAGCCTGGTAGATTAAAGCGATGGTTTGTGAATTTGGTGAAATAATAATTGTGACTTCAATCCCTGGGCCAGGAAGGAGGTAATTGAACTCAGGGTAAGCAATAATTGAGTAGTACTAAAAATAAGAGATACCCCTAGACATGGTCAGCGGGACATGAACATTCTATTTCCGTTGATTAATTAAAGAATATCCTGTAAGTTACCCGGATCGACATACACCTAATGAAGGCCACATGGTACAATGGCTGAAACGTCGTGACAACAACAACACGGATGAGGGCTATAGTTCGCATGTTAATGGCGTAAATTATAACTCCCTCCATCCCAGAAATTCGGACAGAATGTAAGAAATAATTAATAATATTCGTTCTTAACGTCTATATTTTTCTCAGCCTTCTGTCTGTGATCTTTTTCTCATAAAATTCAATAGGATTCATTATTAGCAGTTGATAGAAGACATATAATGCAAACTACAAGATCTCATACAAAAAAAGTGAAAGAAAGCGAAAAAAAAAGATTAAACATCAATTGTAAGAAGGTAGAATGCATGGTTGTCAGTAAATAGAACAGCCCAACATGTCAATTACAAATTGGAGATACCTAAATCAAACAAGTACAACAATTTAAATATCTGTGAACCGAGGACAGAAAAAGCGACATTGGAATCTGAAGGCGCAGTAGTATAACAAAAGACGCCTTCCAAAAGCTAAGCATAGTATTAAGAAACTGAAACTTTCGTTAGAAACAAAGAAAAGAGTACTGCACTATCACATAATATCAGTCCTTCTTTATGGCAGTGAATATTGAACAATGTCCTCACAGGAGAAGAAGAGATCTGAACCAACAGAAATGTGGTTCTACAGAAGGATGCTGAGAATGCTATGAACTGAACACGTGATCAACGACGAAGTTCTACAGACAATTTACTATTTCAGGGACACTTGTAGTTAACATTAAAATGTCTAGGGCACATAATGAGAAAAGAGGGCTTGGAAAATTTGATACTCACGGGAGAGACTGAAAACAAAAGGAAAACAACGCATAACCTACCTAGCGAGCTTGAGTAAATGGGTAGCGGAAAAAGGTTTTTGGGGAGATAAGAAAATGACAAAATTTATTAAGAGCTACAAAACGACAGGAAATTGTGGAGAGCTATGATCCCCAACTTCCTGAAGTGACACGACACACAGAAGATGTGTTTCAACTTCTAACAGTGTTTAATTCTTGTTCCGAATTCTGAAATACTTTTATTCCTTAGTTTATATTTCGTATTTTACAAGCTTCCTTTCAGATGCCGACTAAAAATGAATTGGAACTGATTATTTTTCTACTTATTTTAGGCCAGAAATGCTGCTTTTATCACCATTATCGCGTGTGCAGAGATCCAGTATATCATGGTAAGTGTAAATTGTTTGGTTTTAAGTGAGAAAAATATGTACATGCATTTGAACCTTCCTACTCAAATATACATGCATTAATAAGGGTTTATCATTTTAAAAAAAATCTAATAAAGCAGAGATCACTTTTGTTTGAGAATGTGATCAACGACGATTCATATCGTATTATAAATCTGTTTGTCTCTTCCTTAGTTAACCCGACCGTTATGCTCTGCCAATAAGTCAGAAATAATATAGTTTTGATCGCGGGGAAAGACGGAAAAGACATATAAAAACGCTACATGGTTTCAGTGAGAAAATGAATGAAAGAAAGGAAGAAGGAAAGATAGAAGTGTTTAACGGCTGTTTCATTGAAATGTTTTCATTTGTACCCGCTTACTTCTCAAAAGAGCAGCCAGCATTCATATTTATGATTGTTATCGCAATATATTGTTAACGTTGTCAAACTCACATATTTAACATTGCGATAGGGGAATTTCTACGGATATTTTATTGTCGTAGAACTCGCTATGAGATTATTCAATCATTAACTTAAGAATTAAGTTTCATCATTAAAATAGGAAAACAGAAATTTCACGTGTTTTATTAGTATAATAATGTCCAGTTTATAGTAGTAAAATAAGTATAAAATAAATGTAAAAATAAACCAAAAATTATGCAATATTTATTTACACGTATAATAGCTACTTACCTTAAAATTGCACTGCATATAAATTTCATCTAACGATAATAAATACATGGAAGAATTACATCAAATACATTGATATAAAATTATGAACAGTCTAACTAAAAATATTGATTGATTGATCCGTTTTTAGGGATTATCAACACTTTGCAAGTTATTTAAAACCAGAAATTTTAGGGGGAGGTAATCATGGTTTTAGGGATACAAATCTTACTAATTAACCCATAGCTGGGGCGAGAAGATGTGGATTTATACTTTTCTGTCATAAAATGAGTCAAGTGAATTCTACAATGAATCTCTAACTACAGGATATCTACCAACCGCCCCACGCAGTCAGATGTGGCACAAGACCGAATTTAATGTGGGGTATCCGAGCTCGTAAGCTCGGCCAAGAATAAAACGACGTCGGGGAGCTGTTTCCCGAGACGAGACTCTGGCCTTTGACATAGCCCCGGCTTGGGGATCCTCTTTGCCCGGAGGCAGAGAGTTTGACCAGCGCAGCTGGAGACGAATCAACTGCAGACCAACATACAGTATTTACTAGTGTATTTATATTCATGGGGAAATACCCATTGTCGTCCGTATGTATGTTACAACAATTTCTCAATAGTATTTGCGCGTAAGTGAATATAACGAACCCAACAGGAATTGGATCTCGGTTCTTCGATTAACAATTCTGAGTCATTATCCATTGCACCACCCGCACATCCAAGCTTACAGTACATGGTATGCCCAAGCGTTAAATTTAGGTACTGACTAGGCTCTACGTTGCTTAACTTCGGTGATCTTAGGAAAAATCTATGACAAAGTTTTTGTGTGACGCGTTTTGCTTACTGTAATGTAATTTTGATTTAAAAAAAATGATACTTTAATTAAAGGAGAAAGCAATTTAATGACACGGAAATGTGTAGGAATTACTCTAGTTCATACACAATTACCTACGTCCAGATTTTTACAGCATTTCATCTTCCTTGGCTTGTCACAATGTGATATTTAATAACAAAAGTGTTAAAAACAACAACAACAACAACAAAAATGGAAAGAAATTAAATGAAATCGTAGAAAAGGAATCAATCAGTCAAGATTATCAGCATGGAAGCCATATACTGAGCACAAGGTAAAGTAAGGCAAATTTTAAACAACTAGAATTTTTAGGCAACATGCTGATTCGTGTTGAAATCCACACAGTATTTAGTGTTGTTGAAGTTATCGCTGACATTTTTGTGGAGATTTACAAATTATGCTTCGTTCAATTTCGCAAACTAATCGATAAAATATGAATAAATTTGTTTGGAAAAAATACTTTGACAAAATCCTCCTTTATTTAACATAATTTTATAGGATTTCATGGTAAACAATATTTTTAAGAAAATTTCTTTTTTTCTTTCTCTGTTTTTAAGTGAAGAATAAATTATTAGGATTTCTTACTCTTGAGCATGCAACATACAACTGGCCATGCGTAAATATTTCTTTCTGGAGCCAAATTCCAACATTTTTAAGCGTTTGGCATTGTGATTTGCTTATAGTTTTCGCAAACGCAGGGTGAACTGGAAACTGGATTCTTGTTTATAAAAACTTAAAGAAAAGATATGAAAAAAAAAGTAGTTGTTATTTAATCATAAAATTGTTTTTTAAAATAGTGGGATTATTTTTATGTTAAATAATAAAACTTTCAATTTTTCGAAAATAATTAATAAAAATCCATTGTACTAAGCTACACTCCCTAGTAAAACCAAGTGTATTTTGTACCCTACCCCTGTTTGCACTTCACCCCTAAATTTGATTTCGATCGGTCAAAATATGGCTGTTTTACAGGGTGTGACGGGCGAACGGATTAACGGAAATCACAGGATTATATATATATATATATATATATATATATATATATATATATATATATATATACTAGCAGCATGGCCCGGCGTTGCCCGTGCTTGATTCAAAATAGTACGACTAATACAGCAATCGCTATCACTTGACTTAAAATATTTTGCCCTTCCTTGCCTTTTAGAGAAGTGCCCTTTGCCGTGCTGATGTTGCTACATGCCTTACTTCTTGCCTGTATCACACTGCCAACTTTTTCTAAGCTCTATAGTAAACATTAAATCTGTTACGAAAAAAGAACTAAACAAAATAAACACAATACGATCAGCTTTAAAAAACCGGAAAAAAACATTTTTAAGGGTTGACCGATTGTCGATTTGCACTCTGTTTGGGGTGGGGTGCTCAGAGTTGAAACTTCACATGATGACTCCCAATGGCCTCTTCATAAATCCGCTCGGTTTTCGCTAAAAACCGACATGCGGTTCAGGCGCAATCTGGGCGTATCGGTTTTGGGGTTTTATCGATTTTCCGCGCTGTTTAGGGGTCCGTGGTCATGAAACTTCTGGACAACACTTCTAATGGTGGACTCTAAGAGGGTGTCAAATTTGGTTAAAATGCGATCATTCCTTCTGTAAGCAGAATTTTTTCGATTATCGATTTTTTCGATTATCGATTTTTTCGGAACCTGATACCGAACTCAAAAATCGGGCTCCGCCATGTCCTTACGGCAGCCATTTGCAAACTTGTGTTGAAAAGCGCATCGAAATCGGGTGAGAAATGCGGCCTGGGCGAAGTAACAACGCCCACGACAGGCACACAGACAGACAACATGAGAAATATAGATAGTATATATATATATATATATATATATATATATATATATATATATATCCATGTGATTGAATACAGTTGAAATGTATCGGCGATAAAGAAAAAAAAAAGTCTTGTTTTTTATTCAGTCTTTTAAACAATATGTCTCCACTTGTAATAGAGGAAAGAATATTTATTGTAATGACAAAAGTACACAGGTGTAGGTTTTAAGAAAGATTTACTCAACTGAGAATACAAGATATCACTCTTGATTATTCATAACAATTATCTTACTTTCATGTTTTTGTGTGTAGGCGATCCAGATATGATGTTTTACACAAAATAACTTGACTATTTTCAATATTAAACGCTTTAGTTACGTACTGAGTAAAAAGGAAAACACCTTGAATCTTCCGTTCCAAATTTGAGTCGAGCTGTCACCAGTTTTCGACTTTTTTTTCTCTTGTTGAGTCAATCACAGTACGGCTCCAGCCTATCAAATACTTTTCTTTTATTTCAACTCGCGTGGGTGATGAACAACCACAAAAGTATACTTTGGGAATATTCTCCAAAAATTTCTTAATCCTGTCATTTTAGAAAGAGCTCAGATTCGTCTTGATTTTTTTTACAGTTATCCGCAGATGTCAGAAAGATAGTAACTGTTCAAATGGTAAGTTAATAAATTTAATTATTAAATCATTAAATTTAATTATTAAATCATTAAATTTAAAAATTAAATTATTAAATTTAATTATTAAAAAAAGAACTGATTACATAAAGGTCAATGTGGACATGGCACGGGGTAAATTCAAATTCAGACAGTGTGAAAATAAAAAGGTAGAAGTTCATCATATATTTATCAAATGCAACAAAAAGCATGAATGGGTAGGAAATTGTATAAACTGGGAACTGTTCAAAGAATTATGAGTCGACCATGGAAATCAGTGGTGTATACAGAAAACAGATTTCGCCGTAGTTAATTGAAAATAAAATTTTCCGTGGCATCAAGTGGGTCAGCTAGAGCAGCAAATCAGATCCAATTATTAAAAACAAAGAGAGAATTTACATATATATCGTGTCCGTCACTATTCTGGTCTATATAAGATGATTGAAAATAAGATAAATGCTAAATAAAATTACGCTGACTACCTAAAAATCTGAAAAATATTATACACTTCAAAAGTGACAGTTACACTGAATGGTGTTTGAATCCTTGGGTTGGTTCCGAAAAGCCTAACGAAAAAGGGGAAATTATTGAAAATCTGTGGTTGAATAGAGACGATATTACTGAAAACAACTACACTATTCTGGAGAGTTCTGGAATATTGAAGAGACTTACTAAAACTTGGCCTCTTAGACAAGCAGTCAGTTACTAATGCCATTTCCCCAATCGGTACAATCAATCTTAATAGTAAATTTAGTAATAGTATGGCTACAGTAACGTTTCCGGAAACTATACACTAATATTATTAATATTAACGAGTTTTTATACATCATAATTTTCTCGTTTGTCTAGCCATTTTAAACATGGAAGTATTCCGAAGTATTTTGTGTTTCTGTGAAAATACATGAAAAAAGAATTGTGTCGTTATACTCGACAGGCAAAGGGTCTTGTATGTACGTGGAGAGAAAAATGCAAGAGGAATAGGACACGTACTAGATGAATACATGCAGAAATGTGTTCTAGGATATCAACCAATAGTATAAAACACAGAAGGAGAAATTGTATTATAGCACATTGGATAACGCTATGACTTAATGCAAATAGCAGGAGATTACCATTATTACGAGGGATCTATAATGCTAAAGTAGAAAATAAATGAGACAATGAAAAATAGGAAAAACAGACAAGGATCTCATAACGAGCACAGAGAAAAGGTTTTTGCACAGTGTCTAAAAAAGGAAATACTATTTCCTTTTCCTAGACTGGTTGCCAACCAAGACTATAGGACTTAATCTCTCCTGATATTTATATATAGCCGTTTGCAGAAAAAGAGGATTCATATTTTTTCTAAGGGGGTTTTGTACGCAAGTGAAGGTAATGAACTCGACTAGAATTTGAACTCGGATTCCCAAGTTATCATTCCTAGCCGCTATCCCTTACAGTAACACGAATCCAAATTGCCATACGTCTTACAATATATATATATATATATATATATATATATATATATATATATATATATATATATATATATATATATATGTAGAGAGAGAGAGAGAGCGAGGGGAGGCACGGTGGAGCAATGGATAGCAGCTTGGATTGAGGAATCGGAGAATCCAGTTACATGCACTTACGTGCTAATACCCTTGGGAAAGGTGTAAATCCTCTTCTTCTCCCTCCAGCTATGGATAAATAGCAGGATAGACTGGGTTCTATAGCCTTAGATAGCAACTGGTCTAGGACAACTCTGAATTCAAAATCTGCGGAGGGTCATTTGGGGACCCTGTGCACCTGGTCTCTGTATTCGTCCCTTCAAAAAAGTGTGGATGGTCCTGCACGAAACCTTCACCACTATAATCAAATCTCATGTGCTGTTGTCGGTATCCTGGGAACTGATTTGCTTGACCCTCATACGTCGAATTCGAGAGTCGAATATATATATATATATATATATATATATATATATATATATATATATAGTGTATCACAAAAGTGAGTACACCCCTGACATTTCTTCAAATATTTAAGTATATCTCTTCATGGGACAGCACTGAAAAAATTACCTTTTGACACAATGAAAAGTAGTCTGTCTGCAGCATATATAACAGAGTTAATTTCTTTTCCTCTCAAAATAACTCAAAATATAGCCATTAAAAGCTAAATCCCTGACAACAAAAGTGTGTACACCCCTAAGAAACTACACCCCTAAAAAGTGAGTACACCCCTAAGAAACTACACCCCTAAATGTCTAAATTGAGTACTGCTTTTCATTTTCCCTCCAAAATGTCATGTGACTCATTAGTGTAACTATGCCCATGTGTTCATTGGGTGCAGGTGTATTCAAATTTGTAGTGCAGCTCTAACACTCTCTTTTACCGGTCACTGAAAGTTCCAACATGGCACTACATGGCAAAGAACTCTCTGGGGATCGTAAAAAACGTATTGTTGCACTACATAAAGATGGCCAAGGCTACAAGAAGATTGCCAACACCCTGAAACTGAGCTGCAGCACAGTGGCTAAGATCATCCAGCATTTTAAAAGAGCAGGGTCCACTCAGAACAGGTCTCGGGTAGGTCGTCCAAAGAAGCTGAGCGCACGTGCTGAGCGTCACATCCAAATGCTTTTTTTGAAAGATCGGCGTAGGAGTGCTGTTAGCATTACTGCAGAGATTAAAAAGATTGGGATTCAGCCTGTTAGTGTTCAGACCACACGCCGCACACTACATCAAATTGGTGTACATGGCTGTCACCCCAGGAGGAAGCCTCTTCTGAAGGCAATACACAAGAAATCCCGCAAACAGTTTGCTGAAGACATGTCAACAAAGCCCATAGATTACTGGAACCATGTCCTATGGTATGATGAGACGAAATTTAATTTTTGGTTCTGATGGCCTTAAGCATGTGTGGCGGCGACCAGGTGAGGAGTACAAAGATAAGTGTGTCATGCCTACAGTCAAGTATGGTGGTGGGAATGTCATGGTCTGGGGCTGCATGAGTGCTGCAGGTATTGGAGAGTTACATTTCATTGAGGGAAACATGAACTCCAACATGTACTGTGAAATACTGCAGCAGTGCATGATCCCCTCCCTCCAGAAACTGGGTCGCAGAGCAGTGTTCCAGCATGACAATGACCCCAAACACACATCCAAGACAACCACTGCTTTACTGAAGAGGCTGAGGGTAAAGGTAATGGACTGGCCAAGCATGTCTCCAGACTTGAACCCAATAAAACATCTTTGGGCCATCCTCAAGCAGAAGGTGGAGGTGCACAGAGTTTCAAATATCCGCCAGCTCCGCGACGTCGTCATTGAGGAGTGGAAGAGCATTCCAGCGACTACCTGTGAAGCTCTGGTAAACTCCATACTCAGGAGAGTAAAGGCAGTTTTGGATAATGATGGTGGCAACACAAAATATTGACATGTTGTATGTTAATATTGACAACTTTTCCTAAGGGGTGTACTCACTTTTGTTGCCAGGGATTTAGCTTTTAATGGCTATATTTTGAGTAATTTTGAGGGAAAAATAAATTAACTCTGTTATATATGCTGCAGACAGGCTACTTTTCATTGTGTCAAAGTGTCATTTTGTCAGTGTTGTCCCATGAAGAGATATACTTAAATATTTGAAGAAATGTGAGGGGTGTACTCACTTTTGTGATACACTGTATATATAGTAAAACATCTATCTATCTATAAATATATACATATATGTGTGTACGTGTATGTATGTATGAGTGTGTATATGTAATAACACACACACACACACACATATATATATATATATATATACAGTGGGTAGCAAAAGTATTTAACACATTGGTTTTTCTTACATATCTCAAAAAATAACAGATCAATTTCAACGAAACTTATAGGAAATATTTAAAAGAACATTGTCGATCATATATATATATATATATATATATATATATATATATATATATATATATATATATATATATATATATTTTCATTCAATCATGTTTGGTTAAATAATTTAGACGTATTGTGTCAATTTATTTTAGTTGTAATCTTTTCAAGTCCACGAATTAATTTCTTGGTGATTATAAAAATTTGATTAAGAAAGATTCAAAAATTTTCTTTCAAATAATTTTTATTTTCCCAAGTACTTTCTATCTTATCTGAAGTCATCTTCAGGAGTTGCATATGTATGGATGTCCTATGTTTTAACACCTTAAATTCAAAATATTTTAAAATCTATACAAAGAGGTAACCTATGTGATTTTTTTTAAAAGAAAATCTTCAAAAAAGCATCACATAACTTGCATATTATTCGCAAGGTTTTCTTTCTAGTTTTTGCTAACAGGCTTGACCTGAGGTGTTCAGCTACTGATAAATTTATCCTCTTGAAAATAATTCTGAAAATATTTAACAAATACTTCGGTTTGAAAATTGAAAGAAAATAAATTATTCTGTTCTCCATACTAAGATTATTTTTTTTTTTATTTCAATATTTGTTTCGTCTTCCTTCTTTACTTTTTGGAAGTTTTCTTAATGAATTTTCGCAGACGATATTTCCAAATTTCTAAGCAAACAATGTAACGAGTTCAACTTATTATCATCTTTATTTGTAGGCATGAAATGCTGTTCGGGTCGCTGTTCTCGATTTTGCTTCAGAGGCCCACAAACTGGTGAGTCAACTCCCATTTCTCTTAAATTTAGTAACATTCCGACGTGATATACGCAAATACGATGATCGTGTTATTTTTATTTATTGGAATTATTCATTTGTCGATGTAGCATCCTTTCGATTTTTTTTTATGCGTTTCACCCCAAGCAAGGCGAGAATCCACTAGGACGCAAGGAGTTACAGAAGATTTGGAGCAAGATCAGATAGGAGTGATAGAAGAAAGGATGAGGAGAAGGGTAGTGGATAGATCAAGGCAACTGGAGATGTCGATTGACATTACATTTGAATAGATGGAGATTGTAGCTCTCAGGGAAACTGGAATAGGGAAGGGAGTTCCACAGACGAGAGGTGCGAGACATGAAGCTATTGGAGTAGAAGAGACGGCTACATTTAGGAGTTTCGACAGTGAAAGGGTGAAAGCGGGATGCCAGCCTCGTAGGGCGCTTGAACTCGTGACGTCTGGGAACCAGCGAATGCAGCTCCTCGGAGCAAATGCCATGAAAGTATTTGTAAAACAGACAGAGAGAGGCGACGGCGCGTCTGTGAGAAGGCGACTGTAGACGAGATGCCAGAGCAAGGCCAGCTATATTGCATATCCGCCTCTGGAGCCTATCAAGAACCCCGAGGCAAACAGAAGGGGCTCCAGACCATATATGGCAGCAATACTCCATGCAAGGGCGAATTTTTGATTTGTAGATCTGGAGGATCGATTCCGGGGAGAAAAATTTCCTGGCGCGGCACAGGGAGCCAACTTTCCTTGCGATGGACGAAGCAATTGACTCAATATATTTGTTTCATCTCAGGTCAGCAGTCAACGTGAGACCGAGCAGCCGCAGAGAGGTGCTCTCGAGAAGTTGAGCGTTAGACATTCTAATGGTGGGCAGGGAAGTATCTCTGTGGTGTTTAATAGAGAGCAGTTCTGTTTTTGAAGCGTTAAAGTTGACCAGCCAATTCCTGCCCCAGTTCATAACCGATTGGAGGTCCTTTTCGAGACGCACGGCCAGGTTAGTTTTGTCAGTGACACTAGATTTGTTTTTGAGGCAGGAATAAATTGTGGTGTCATCCGCATAGATGCCAACTTGGGAATTTATGGCGTCAGGAAGGTCATTTATGTAGATAAGGAATAGAGTGGAGCCTAGGATGGAGCCTTGAGGAACACCTGCGTTCGTAGGATAGGAACTGGAGGAGAATCCGTGAGAACGACCTTCAATTCACGGTTTGACAGGAATGATTGTATTAGGTCAAACAATCGACCCGTAATGCTATAACACTGGAGCTTGCGAAGAAGGCCGGCATCGTCTTGATAGGACTTCGGCAAAAGGCTGTAATTAATAAATACATTGCCTATTTATCTTTATCCTTTTCTTATTGTCAAACATTCACTGTTTATCTGCAAGTAACTGGTTAGCAACGAGAAGCTGACTGATGACATTCAATCAGACACAATGACACAATGAAAAATAATTATTTAGATAATTATTTACATTCGGATTAATGGTCTCATATTTGTTGTTATTGTCACATCTTTTCGGCCGTTTTGCCCTCTGGCCTTCTTAAAGTGTTTTCGACCCAGGTAACCGTCATTGAATGTCAAACTGAAATCCTTTATTTAATCAACAACATTAGAATGTTCTCGTCCCTCTGGCTATATCTAGGAATATCCGTCTTGTTCTATTTTAGTACTGCTCCCACCGAGTCCGTACTAACCGGCACAGAGATTGAACTCACAATGATTTTACCACCAAATTAACAAACCAGCACCTTTTATCCACTAGACTTTGTCTTTTGGGATAATCCTGAACCTCGAAATTGAAGCATTCAACCTAATATTCTTCTTGGTGGAGAAACGGTACTGTAATGGATTGCGGCTTGGATTGAGAAGTCGGAGAGCTGAGTTCGAATTCCAGTCGGATCCATGACATTGATTTACGTGTTAATACCCTTGGGAAAGATATGAATCCAACACTTCTCCCCTAAATATGGTAAATAGTCGGGTAGACTGGGTTTGTAGCCTTAGATGGTAGCCAGTCTAGGAGAAGAAAAACTCTGAATTCAAACCAGCCTGGAGATAGTTGGGCTCCGTCAGGCTATCTTGCCCAAGACCCCAGTTGCAGTACAAATATTCAAAATCATACCAAAATTATGCTCAGGTTTCATACTGAATACATCATCTACGTTGGCATCTCTTAGGATGAGCCCAGTGCATACTGCGGTAATCTCGAATCTACTTCTGTTAAAATAATGCTTCCTTTTTAATATCAAAATTTCATTCAAACTGTTTGGTATTTCCCGAACTGAATCCCACTACATATGCGTGTGAAACTAATTTTTGTAATTCCTGATTGATATATGTTACCAATAATTACAAGTATCCTCTATTCAATTGAATGTTTCTAAAATCGACAACTTCCTTGATTTCTTTTATTGCAGTTTCATCTGTTGGGTCCAAAAACGTGAAAATTATTTGAATTACAAATGGAGAGAATTGAATATTCATAGCAGCCAATCCAACGGCAGACGATATTTTATCAGTGTTTTTCGAAGTAAAACTGAATAAATATGAAAAACATGATTTTGTTATTTTTTTCAAATTTTCTAAATTTCCGAACCTTTAAGACTTCATACTCAACTTGTTTTTTTTCCACTTAGATCACCTTATTTTCTTATTATAATATTTTATATTATTCATTATTAGATTATATTTTCCATTTCGAAAGCTTATATTCGTATTATCCTCATTATACGATAACCTCTTTATATTATAATCTTATTATTTTATTACATTATATTTATGAATCCTGTAATAGCAAAAAATAAATAAAACATATTTTGAGAAAAGTATTCTTCATTAATTTCTCCACGTAATTTTAATCTTATAAAGAAGTAGAAGTGAAATAGTCGTTTTTAGCCACTATTTTTAATATCAAAGTAAGTGTCATTAGATTGTGCACAATATTGCCAGGAATCTTGTACTGAATTTATTCCATGATGAATTTCAGAATATATTTCCGACACGATCGTATATATGCATTTGACTTCTAGAAAAAGGAGGGGATAAAGTTTGTTGTATTAGGAAGATGTTATAACATAGAAAAGGTTACTGAATGAGGAATAACCAAAACGGAGATTGGAAAAGAAATGGTAATCTTTATAACATCAACAAAATACAATACTCACCAGCGGTGGGAAGTAAGTAACACACTGCTAGTGGTGGACTACTTAGACAGCATATTACGATGTTTACCTGCCTCCCCACGAGGTAGGATGAGGTACAATGCCAAATTTAATGCGGGGAAATCCGAGCCCGTAAGCTTGGGCAAAAATTGCCCGTAGACCCCGCATACGCGGGATAGGGTATCTATCTACCTCCCCGGACGAGACTCTGCCCTTCGGCATAGCCTCGTTCGGGTTCCTCTCTGCACGAAGGTAGAGAGATCGATACTGCAAGAGCTTCACGCTGCGAGCGTACACAGCGTATTATCCCCATTTACAATAGTATCCAACGTATTTATGAAGATTGGAACATAACCATTAGTGTTCATAGGTACGGCATAACATAAGGCGAATCCGGACATCGATACCTAATTGCATGAGATGTTTGTCGAGTAGTTGTTGAAATATGAATATGAAATCAGGGGTTATCTTGAAACAATGATCTCATTAAGGGCCAAAACTAAGGTTAAAAAACAATCAAGGGAATCTTTTGGAGTGTATATAGAGGATGTTTCAGAAAAGTTAATATCATGGTCTATGTCCCTCTTCCTTTTCTTACAAGCCTAGAGGAACTCAAGCAGAAAATCACTATTGTCCTGGAGAATGTTACCCAAGATATGCTGCAGTGTGTTTGGGAGAAGCTAGACTATCGTCATGATGTGTGCCGTGTCACAGGCGTTGCTCATATTGAAAACTTGTGAAATCGTTTCTGAAATCCACGTACCTTTTAATATTTTTCATTCAAATTTTGATGACTAAATCTAATTTAGCTCAATAATAAGCCTGTTTAGTTTAATTTGCCTAGACAGTGTAGTTACTCAAATATTTACATATCAAATGATACCAATTTCTTTGAAAAAATCTCTAGATTTATATTTTACAGAGAATTGTGTATTTGACCGAAAAATAATGAAATTTTTATGCAGTAGTGAGTTAATTTCGTCATCATTATTATTCTTGTTGTTGTTATTATTATCATTAGTTCTTTTTAATCATTTCACCCCAAGCAAGGCAATAAAGCCACTGAGATAGAAGGGTTACTGAGAGTTAGACAATACAGTGTAACCCGGATATATGAGACCCGGATATAAGAGAAACCCGGATATAAGAGAAACCCGGATATAAGAGAGATTTTATTTGGTCCCAAATTAGAGCCTGTGTTAATGTATATAAATTAGACCAAACCCGGATATAAGAGAAACCTGGATATAAGAGAAACCCGGATATAAGAGACTTCTTCTCCGCTCCCGACAACTCTCTTATATCCGGGTTACACTGTATAAAAAAAAACTTTATTAAGGAGAAAGAACAATCAAAGAACAAGGAACAAGGAACAAATTCATATATTTAATAACAGTTTCATTATTGTTGAATATATGGAAAACCACAACAGGAAGAGAAAGTCACCCTGACACTAAATTAGCCGGCAAATTAGTTTTAAAAAAGGCAGGCAATAATTAACTTCCCCAAACCTTTGACGTATAGTGTAGTCCTTTACCTGTATATTTATATTTTTTACCTGTGCATTAATTTTTTTACCTGTAGATTTATATATTTTTTACTTGTAGATTTATATATATTTTACCTGTAGATTTATATATTTAAAAAAATCTATAAGTGTAGTTTTATTTTTTTTACCTGTAAATATATATATATATATATATTACCTGTAGATTCATATTTTCTTTTCTTTTTTTTTTACCTGTAGATTTATATTTTTACAGATGATACTATACTTCAGTGAAAAATACTTTCCTGGTTTCTGCGGGGAAAGTTGAAAATTAATATTAGCTCAAGCCCTGGGGGTGGGCATCTTTCCATGCAGTACCTCTCTTTCGGGTGGCGGGCTGGGCTCATTACCCATCGCCTGAAGCGTACCCAAAAGGGGAAATGATGAGGCGGACTAGAGCAATTTTCCCTCAGTATTGTCGGCAATCAACTTTAAACCTCGACCTTTGTTATAGCGGAACACACCTATTCTATAGTTAATAGACTCTCCCACCTATAATAAGTAGGAGTCGCTCAGTGGGTCAGTCAGTCGCTCAGCTCTTGACCGACTGTTCGGTTGAACTCTCTGCCTTCGGGTGGGGAGGAACCCGAACGAGGCTACGCCGAAGGGCGGATTCTCTTTCGGGGAGGTAAACCGACCCTGAACCCGTTTTATACGGGTTCAATGGGCATATTTTTGGCCGAGCCCACGGGCTCGGAGAACCCACGTTAAAAAGACCTTGTGTCACATGGCGCCCTCGTGGTGGGGGTGACTGAATATCGTCAGTCGCTCAACTTTTGAACGACAGATCGGTTGAACTCTCTGCAACACAAAAAATGATAACAAAACTGGTATCTCATTTTACCAGATATATTTACTAAAATTATACAAAAACATCTTGAAATACTAAAGAGCAAATTTATTCAGTAAAATCGCCATTGCATCAACCACGGCCTCCAGACAACTTCGGAATGTCCTGGACGGTTTTTCTGTTATAATTCTTGCTTTCAGTTCATCTTTGGTGTTACAACGAGTTTAGTTGGTCTCTCGCTCAACTGCTCCCCACACATAAGAATCAAGGGAGTTGCAGTTTGGGGAGTGAGGTGGCCAGATGTAAGGGGTGATATCGTCGCAGAAATTGTCTGATAGCCATGACTGGGTTCTCCTGCTTGTGAGACATGGTGCAGAGTCCTGTTGCCAGACATAGGGTTTTTCAGCAAACACCCTCTTGACACATGGCAGCACTCAATGTACTCCTCCGTACTGAGTCTGAGGCCCTCACCGACACATTCGAAAGTTCTTTTCTTATCAGAACGATCAGAGTCAGTTTTCCGAGCTGCCGTACTTTCGTAATCACCATTAGACTCATCTAACTCTTTCCGAACCCTCTGCACTATGCTCTGATTCAGAAATGTGTGTATTGGAGCTTCCGGTACGAATACCAAGCAATACAGCATGCCGTTTCCAAATTTCTGGCGTCAATTGCGTCATAGCATTCTTTTTCTCATAGACGTTGCTCAACTGACCCTACTATACTGTGCAGCTGACAAAATCAAAAACAAATAACGCGCATGCGCGAAATTAAAAAATATATAAAATGGCGACCATTTACCCATGGAACCCTGTAATTAAAATGACAGAAGATAGAGATTGACGTTGCATTTCATTTTTTTGATGATCAAATTTGCATTCTCCCCCAGCTATAAGTTAATTATTGCATTTCATTTTTTGATTATCAAAAGTGAGAACTGCGATAGAGGAAGCTATTAGCATAGAACTTTTCGGCTACATCTAGCCATTTCAAATGTAAAATGATGAGACCTTTCAGACAATCGACTATTGAGCTTACATTCATAAAGTCTAGGTAACATAGAGGAAAGTTAATCAGAACAATTACCATGAAAGTAAATATAGAAAAGGCACAGAGAAGCTACGCTACAGCGATGGGAAAGTGACCGAATTCGAGGTGTAAGGTCAGCACCAATAACATTTCAGATTCTTCTTTCGATCTTATCAAGAATTTTTAAATATATACCTAGAGAACCATACCATTTATGGCAGCAATGTTCAAATCAAGGATGATAAATATGTAAGATTTATTCTATCATTCATTCTTGCTTTGAATTTTTCTCCCACATCTGCCCTGGTGCTCCTGTTATATATCTATTGATTCATTTATTCGTATTCTATGGCTTATCAACCCTTGAACCGTATTTAAAGCCCGAAAATATTTTTAGATTGTAAGATTGTTTTTTTTTTTTTAAGATAATTATTTAGTAATAGCAAGTAATTAACTTATAGCTGGGGGAGAAAAGACGGATTCTTACCTTGACTAAGTGTACTTACACGTAAGGAAATATAATGAAACCAACGAGAATCGAAATTCGTCTCTCCAATTAGCCATTCCGAGCCATTATCCATTACACCACCCGTACAGTCCAGCTTACAGTGCCTGGTATTCCCAAGCGGTCACCCATCTAGGTATTAAACAGGCTCGACGTTGCTTAACTTCGGTGATCGTACGATAACCGGTGTATCAACATGATGTGGCCATAAGCGTCCCCGGACAAATTATTACTGTGAAACACAATTACGTAGTTTGTTAATAACCTTCAGTATTACCAGATGTAACACTTTCAATTTTCTTTGCGTTTGTTTCCTTGATAGCAAATGATCTTATTGTCTTAGTGATAAGACAGCAGAAATAAATAATTTGTTTGACTTTCTGTCAGGATTTCCGGAATTAGGAGTTACCATAAAACATTATTTATTCATGTATTTACTTTTATTTTTTATTTAAACACTCTGATTACAACAACAAAATCGAGGACATTAATTTTCATCTTTGTTGTCACTATCACAATGTTTCGGTAGTTATTCTCCCCGGTCCTCTTCAGGGAATTTCTAATTGGACTCTACGGGACGAGCAGTAACTGAGCAGTACTAAAATAAGAATTAGATGAGATATCCATAGACATGGGCAGTGGAGCGAGAAAAAGTTGTAGATTAAATAAAGGGTTCAGTTCGAAATTCCCTGTATGTTACCTGCATTGGCATAAACCTGATGAAGACCGGAAAACGCAATGGTTGAAACGTTGTGGCGAAAACAAATAAGGTGCCCGACATGGGTAAATTGTTCTTGTTCTGCTGTTCTTAAGGAGTATCAAAACTTGATCTTTTTTTTTCTAATTCTTTTTGGTTATTGCTATTGTTGTTTCCACGGCGGTCGAGTCTGTGATACTCAGCCCAGAATTTACAATCACTTTACCACCAATTTTAGTCCCGTGGTGTTTTCTTAAAACTAGAACCTGAAGCCTTCAAATAGTTTTACTTTATCAGAAAATGGTAAATCTTTATTTGCTTCCTTTCAACATGGAAGGTTGGTTAATGGAGAGAGAAAGATTTTGAACGGATTGTAATTATTTTTGCATTTTATCCGATCATTTCGAGTGCAAAAGAAGGCCACCAAATCCACAAATCTTCTGGTTGGCTGCATTGCGTTAGGCATCACGCTACCCCGGCGATCAGCTCTCTACTCTTTACTCGTGACGGATTCTCTCTGTTTTCCTTCCCCCACTGTTTTCGCAACAATGTGATGGTGTAGCGAAGATGGGGCATATGAGGAAATTATGAGGTACCCAGTGTAGATCGAAATCACTATCCAATCTATCGAGACAAGCTTGTTAACCGTTACACCAGGCCAGAGTACCCCAACATGTACTCCGTATGTATCACCTTCATTCCCTTAAGCCTCGCCAAATTACGTGATATCATGTAAAACAAATGGCGTAGCATTCAGTGTTATGATAACTACACCACTTTAGAATTTTACTATTAATTTTCACTAGCAATATTTTAACTTTGTCCAAAATCCCAACTGAAAGTTACCGACTGTGAATTAAACTCACTAGCGCCCACGTGTCATCTCCAAGAAGTTCTTTCATATATACTGGATTACATACATGAAAGATTTTTACACTATTTACATTGTTCGGACTGTTGTTGTCATCTTTATTGTCACATTCACGACGTTTCGACCGTTGTACGCCACAGCATTCTTCAGGTGATATAGGTTGTAATTTTGAACCGAACCCTTTATTTACTTCACGGCGTAGATTGTTTTAATTCTACGTGCCATGCCTTTTCTACATATTTCAGTTTCAGTTTCAATTCCCTTTAGTAACTCAGCTTTTCAAGTTTTTATTCACCTAGGCTAGGTATTGAACTCACAACTCTTTGGGCCAAGTTACTGGATTACTTCAACCGACGCTTTTATCCATGCCTCAGTGGTTGAAGTAATCCAGTAACTTTTATCCACTGGTATTTTTTTTTTTTGAAAAATGCTGTTTGAATGGCGCCTGTAGAACAAAGAGGAAATAAAGGTAATTCTATTCTGTGGAAATGACATAGAGGGTCATTAGCAGTAAGGGTTTGAACAGGTGGATCTAGAGAATTGAGCTCATTTGAACATTTACCATAGAAATGTCAACAGATTAGCAACAGATTTTCAAAACTGCGTCCGCTGTAGAGTGGAAAATAAGTCTTTCTCGACAAGACCGCCTAAACAATTTTGAATTTTTCATTATGAACAGAAAAATAAAATGCATTTTAGAATATAGCAACATTTTTCAATTGAAAATATAAAAAATATATGATCCACTTGACTTTATGAATCTTTCCCAACAGATTTCTAATGTGTAAGAACTCTCTAATTTCAGAGATCAGAAAATCTTAAGTAATGGCGTCTTATTGTCGAATATTTTATCTGAGACGAAAAATGCTTGCACAGGGGATAGTTATTTTTACATAAATGGATATGTAAAATTCAACAAAAGTTCATATCCCAACTGCCTCAGCATTGCGACAGTGGTTACTAAGACTTAATTCTGACAACGGATCTGAGCCGATTCTGTTACATGTTAATAAGTATTAGACCATTCATAAACCCGTTGAGTTATTTTAAAATGCAGTCCCTGATAAAAAATGCTGAGGTAACAATATTAGCTATTTTATTATTAAATCCATATCTTTTAATTTGTATTAGCAATGTAAGTCATTGTAATAAATATTATTACTCACATTATACAATATTACTCAGATCAAATTAGAATTTCTTCTTAAAAATGCCATAACCCCCCCAGAAAAACGACTTATTTTAATTAAATTTATCACTGCATTCAGCAGAGTTACATGGTACAATATGCTCATAAATTGGTTGGGGTTATGTATTGTTTAAGCTGTATCTCTGGAACAAACTTATATACATAAATGTAAGATTAGAGTTTTAATATTATAGAAATATTTTACGATTAAGTGATGAATCTTATGTATGTGTTTTAATGCGTGTATGCGTGAGTATGTGTTTGGTTGCGGAAACATATTTGTTTATGTGAAAGTTCTTGAATATGCATATATTCAAAGTATTAGTTTTCTCTAAAATTCTGAGTTCGATTCCAGCGGTAATCTTTGTAAGAGTCGTTATCCAGTGTTAACAACGCCTTTAAAACGATTTTCTGTGTCGTGTTAAATTATTTCAATATAAAGATGGATTTTGTTCTTTACCGCCGATAAAAATCAAAAATTATAACATATTAATCTTTTTAAAAAAAATTATATGGTTAAAATCGATTTACTCCATATTTCTTCAATAAACTGTACTTTACTGACACGTTTTGTTTATGGAATTTCTGGAATAAATAAGTCTTTATCTGTTTTCATTGATATATATTTAATCTTCTTAAGTGATTAACTTTTTGTTCTTACATCCCGTTTTAGAAAATATATATAACAATTAACATTGAGACAATCTGAAAGCCAACAGTAGTTTCATATCGTCAAATTGATATAAATTAGCCATAGTTTCAAAACCTGATACATTTATCGTCTATTTTAAGAAGAGAATATGAAAATTCCAGCCATTTTTGCTCTGTTTGGCGTTTTATGTTCAAGTAAGAAGAAAACATTTTTTTTATTATTTTCAATGTCATTGGCGTATTTGAATTTTCTCAGATTCAAGATATCTTTTTCTTTATTCCTCCTTATTTGTTATTTCTCTTTTGATTCCTTTCATGAATGCAGGCGCGCGCGCACACACACTCACACACACACACGTTTTCAGTCTCTCTTTCACACACACTCACACACACACACTCTCAGACATTTTCTCTCTTTCACACATACACACAACACATGTACATCCTCTCTCACATACACAATCTCTCTCACATACAAGCACACACGCACTTTCTCTCTCACACACGCACACACTCTTTCTCATAGATGCATGCATGAAATCTTACACACCCACTCACTTTCCTGCATGCATACACACTCTCTTTTTCTCTTTCTTACACACATACACTCAAGCGCGTACACACAGACTCTCTCCCTTTCTCTCTCTTACATATACAGACGTACACTCACTCCTACACAAACACACAAATACACACATAATCTCTCTCTCTCTCTCTCTCTCTATATATATATATATATATATATATATAAATTAAACTTAAAAGAGACTGTTTGACCAACAGAAGGAATGTTAAAAAATTCATGTTAAAAAGATAAAAAAAATAAGAAAACAAATGAAAACTACAGACAAAAGTGCATTTTCTCCATCAAGACATTCATTTCTGTAGTTCACTGCTACCAGCAAGCAGAAATATTTCTTCTCCTGATGATGTCCATATTGGCCGAAACTAGTCGAGGAATCTAAATGAAATAATAATAATAATAACGAAAGAATATTAATCTACAACCCAGTATGTCTGAATATTTTAATTTTTTAATATTTTTTATTGTTCAATATATATATATATATATATATATATATATATATATATATATATATATATATATATATGTGTGTGTGTGTGTGTGTGTGTGTGTGTGTGTGTGTGTCGGAATAAACTTTTGTAGCACTTGTAAATGAATATCAATGACAATCTTTAGATATTTTTCCTCATATTTATCACAGTAACACTTTGCATCTTTGTGACTTGTTTGGGGGTGAGATGATTATAAAAAGATTTGTTCAACCACATATCTGCCATTTTGTTTCCCTGCCTTTCATTCTTTTTAAGGCAGGTTCATGATTCCATTTCAACGGCATTTACCCTCTTTCTGCGTGATTAAGTAGTTTCTACAGGCTTTCATGGATTTGAAGTCTTTTATATTCAGAGGATTTTATCCGCATAGTCTCTTTTGTTTCAAAGAAGCATTTTTCTATTCTGTTTATAAGTAAATGGACTTCTCCATTTTCTTAAAAGTAGGTTCTTATTTATTAGTCTTTAAGTCTTACAACGGTCAGTTCTCAATGCAGAGTTGTATATATATATATATATATATATATATATATATATATATATATATATATATATATTATTGTTATCCACAGACTTTTTAGCTGTATCACGTGTCACAGCTCATCAGTGGGATAGATTGCCTCAAGCCCATGGCGTTCTATACTCTAGGCCAAGTCATGGCGCAACTGAGAGCCAGAACTGGAGGCCTATTGAAAAATGTAGGATTTTCAGAAATTTTAGAAGAAAAT